TCTAGTCTAGCTCATGCTTTTCACTCACATAGTAGTTGGTGATGTCCCGATTCTTCCTTGGTTGATCTCATGCTTCAATCTTGTGTTTTGATCTAATCTAGCTCGTGCTTTTCACTCGCATAGTAGTTGGTGATGTCCCGATTCTTCCTTGGTTGATCTCATGCTTCAATCTTGTTTTTTGATCTAATCTAGCTCGTGCTTTTCACTCACATAGTAGTAGGTGATGTCCCGATTCATTCTTGATTGCTTGTCATGCTTCAATCTTGTGGTTTGATCTAGTCTAGCCTATGCTTTCACTCACATAGTAGTTAGTGGTGTTCCGTTTCACACTTGGTTGTTTTTTCACTCGTGCGCATGTCTTTTCACTAATTCAATCTTCATTTTGTCAAGTTCAAGCATGCATGGTAGTGTTCCATTTCATACTTGATTGTTATTTCACTCATGTGCATGTGCTTTCTTCACTTTGTCAAGTTCATGTGTGTTGTAGTATTCCGTTTCACACTTGGTTGCTCTTCCACTCATGTGCATGTACTTTCACTAGTTCAATCTTCACTTTGTCAAGTTCAAACATGTGGTGGTGTTCCGTTCCACACTTGGTTGCTCTTTCACTCATGTGCATGTGCTTTCACTAGTTCAACCTTCGTTTTGTCAAGTTCAAGCATGTGGTAGTGTTCCATTTCACACTTGGCTGATCTTTCACTCATGTGCATGTGCTTTCACTAGTTCAACGTTCGTTTTGTCAAGTCCAAGCATGTGGTAGAGTTCCGTTTCATACTTGGTTGTTCTTTCACTCGTGCGCATGTACTTTCACTAGTTCAATCTTCATTTTGTCAAGTTCAAGCATGCATGGTGGTGTTCCGTTTCACATTTGGTTGCTTTTTCACTCATGTGAATATGCTTTCACTATTTCAACCTTCATTTTGTGAAGTTCAAGCATTGTGGTAGTGTTCTGTTTCACACTTGGCTGATCTTCCACTCATGTGCATGTGCTTTCACTAGTTCAACCTTCGTTTTGTCAAAGTCCAAGTAGGTGGTAGTGCTCCGTTTCATACTTGGTTGTTCTTTCACTCGTGCGCATGTATTTTCACTAGTTCAATCTTCATTTTGCCAAGTTCAAGCATGCATGGTAGTGTTTCATTTCATACTTGGTTGTTCTTTCACTCATGTGCATGTGCTTTCTTCGCCTTGTCAAGTTCATGTGTGTTGTAGTGTTCCGTTTCACACTTGGTTGCTCTTCCACTCATGTGCATGTACTTTCACTAGTTCAATCTTCACTTTGTCAAGTTCAAACATGTGGTGTTTCACACTTGGTTCCTCTTTCACTTATGTGCATGTGCTTTCACTAGTTCAATCTTCATTTCGTCAAGTTCACACTTGGTTGCTCGTTCACTCATGTGCATGCGCTTTCACTAGTTCAACCTTCGTTTTGTCAAGTTCAAGCATGTGGTAGTGTTCCGTTTCACACTTGGCTGATCTTTCACTCATGTGCATA